CGAGGAGCCAGGGGAACTCTGCAGGCTCCGACTTGGGGAGCGAGGGCGACCCGGGGCGCGTGTGTAAATCAGTCACCTGAGCGCAGAGGGGCCGCGGCGAGGGCGCGCGCGGGCGGGCGGGGAGAGGCGGAGGCGGCGAGAGCGGCGGCCCGGAGGAAACCGGGAGGGGGAGGGAGAGAAAGGCCGAGGCAGACGGAGCGAGAGGCGGCCGAGGGGCTGGTCCAGGCGCGGCCGCTAAGAGGAGACCAAGAGGCGGGGGCTGCACTTGACAACCAGCATGCCGAGATGGTAAGAAGTTTCCACCCTCCTTTCCTTTTTATTCTAGACTTAGTAAGAAATGAGCCCCAGGGCCGCCCGGGGGCCGTGTTTTCCCCAAGTCCAGCGGCGAGAGGTGGAGGGGAGTGTTGAGGGGGGCGGGCTGGGGAGGAGAACCCCAGTCCAATCTGGCCCCTGCTGTGCCCCCGAAATCCCCCCTAAACTTGGCCCAAGTTTCTGAGGCTAGTTCCAGGTGGGAGGGTGTGTGTGTGAGGGGGGCTCGTGAACGTCGCCCCCTCTCCAGGCTGGCGGGGAAAGGTGATCGCCAGGCTCCAGGGAGTTGGGGACGCGCTGGAGGGAAGGCGGGGGATGAATGGAGCGCTGCAAAGAGCTTGGGGCGGCAGGAAAGCGGTGTGGAGAACGGGGAACTTTTAAAACTTGCCCGCGAGTGAGGGACGGGCGTCTGGGCGTGGGCGCCGGGGCGCGCTGGTGCGCCGCGCGGCGAGGGAGGACACGGCCACCGCGTCCCCAGCACCTTTGCTTGGCCCTCCCTGCTCCCTGACGTTGGGGGAAACCTCCCTTTGTAAATGAAGAAATTGTAGGAAGTGCTCCTGGAGGTTTTATGAAGAACGTGCAAAACGAAGGTCAGGAAAATAAACCCTAGAGAGAGACAGGTTTTGAGGTGCAGTTCTGAAGGATCCGATGTGTTTTGCTTACACATGGACTGCACGGTGGCATTTGGGGCCCGGGAAGGGGGCAGAGTAATTAAAAAAAAAAAAGAAGAAGAAAGAAAAAAGAAAATAGATGAAATCCCCTGTGAAGTGAGGCTGGAATTAAAAAAATAAGTTCTTAGTGCAAGTGGTGGAGGATATAGGAAGGCTTCGGAACGAGATGCCAGCACAGCCCTCCACTCGAAGCGGCTTCACCGCAGCGAGACAGCGTGCAGTTAGTTCGCCCTGGAACAGCGCTCTGTCCGCTTTCGGGAAAGTGATTTGTTAGAAATCCGGCTGGACCACTCCCTTCCTCCCATCCACCCAGAGCTGCTGCTGTTACCCCCACTTGGGAAGCTGATAAATTGTGTTCTGCATGTAGATGTAATATGTAAGAAAAAGGCAGATAGCGGGTTGGCATTTTTTTTCTCTGTCTTCCTTTCCCCCTAATGTGACATCTCTTGTTTCAGTGATCAAAGTCACAACTGGAGTGTAAGAGATGCGACTGTCAAATGCAGACACACACACACACACACACACACGCACACACACGCACACACACACACACACACAAAATAGCATGTGCCCAAGACTGTGGTTACAGTAATGCTAACAGAAATTAAAGTGGTTTTGAAAGCAGCGTGCGATTTATGGTGGTTCTCATTTACCCTAGAGTCGAGCTGTTGTAAAACTGATGTACAAAAGACATCATAAAATAATCCTGTGTACACAGGATTAAAGTGGCAGAAAGTGGCCTGTTTCATTATTTTTTATGTACTTCGTGGACAGTTGCAATGGTTGGAACCTGTGTTTAAGTGCAGGCGTCAAAACAAAATATTAAATATATCTGTTTAGTGCTTGAAGGGTTTTTCTTCTAGCGGCATTTCACACAAGAACGCTGTAAAAGCCGGTTGTAGGTATTATTTTTCTTCCCTTTTCCCTTAGCCTGTATACTGTTTGTCTATACATCTATTCCTAAATACTAACCACTTTGAACAGTGCCTAAGCCCATTTGTCACCCATTGCTTTGTATTCTGCAGTTTCAAATGTGGCTGTGCACACACGTGCTTTAAGTGGGGGGGATTTATTTCTGGCACTCTTATTTAGTGTTCTGATCTGAAGACGTACTTCAGAGCAGTGAGACCTTGTACAAATTAATAGAACTTCCTTTACCCTTTGGAATCACCAAAAAAATCCCATATGCACCTTTATAGGTTATCTGTGTTTTACATTATATTTGTATCTGTTTCATTTAAAGTGTTCAGCCTTAATGAAGTTCTCAGTTGTAGCTACTTTCTGTTCCCGGAGAGCAGAGTATTTAAAATCCAGATTGCTAATCACTTTACCAAAGTACTAGAGTATCTTACCAAAGTACTAGATAGAGTATCTACACCTGAGGAAAGTAATATGGAGCCTAAATGTGAACTCTGAGTGTCTTGTGAGAAAAGTCCGAAACTGTCTTTTTTCCCTCTTGAGAATATTAAGTTCGGAGTTGTTGGCTTGTAAAACTTTGAAAAAGAACCAACTTCATCTGATTTTTAAAAATAAATATGAAGAAAATATTAATAGCAGTTGTACATTCCCAATACCTGATTTTTTTTTCTTCTACCTGAAATGTGAGATATCTGTCAGGCAGGGATGTGTGATTACCAAAAAGAAGCAGACAAAAGCAGAGCTGACTATTGCTATATTAAAATGTAAGTGTTACAGTTTGAATTTTCAAGTGAGAGTTTTTGAGTTCAGTGCTTTACATAACATTTTGTCCTAATCTTGCTTGCTGTCAGGGATGTTTCATGGTTGTGCAATTGCTGCAGTCAAGAATGCCAATTTGCATTCCAGGAGTGTCATTTGATTACTTTTATCTGCACAGCTCCAAGACCGGCCCAGACCTCTCGTTTCATCTTGCCATGTCACGAGTCAATGCTGTGTCGTCTTTTCAAAAATCTGCCTGATTTAGACAAGAAAGAAAAGTACTTTCATGTTGCAGCCGCAGTCCCCTGCTAACTTGTCAGCAGCAGGATATGATTCACTTGGGCCCAGAAGAATGGAACAGAGAGGCGGGTTAGGCGGTTCAATAAAGCCCATGGACAGGTAGTGTGTGACATCCCCAGAGAGCTGCAGTTAATGAAGAACAGGTCTGCTTAGTTCTCCACACGCTGACCTGGTGCTGTCCCCACAGTTTTCTCATTTGATCTTTCCCAGCAAATTGATCTTTTCTTGTATTTTTTTGCCTTCCAAGTTAGTCCTTGTGGGACTGAAATTAGCAGAGCAACTTAAGTTGGATAATACAGCTGTTCAGAAAAGAAGAAATTGGACACTGGCTCAAAAAGGGGTGGAGGGAGCTATTCTTTTTATTGTTGTTCCTGAGAATATTTCTTATATTAAGGGAGTCCAAAATAGGTGATGACTTGAAGTTACTGGTTCCCTTTATTTTTAATTTTAGCGTTAAGGCTCCATACCATTTTAAATATTCCTTAAGTACTTGAAAGATGGTCCTAGTGAGTAGGAGGAGTTAGATTTAGCATTTTTCATATTCACTTGTTTGAAATGATTTGCCAGTCGACTATGTGGCTTTTACGGCTATTGTGAGATAGACTAAATATCAATGGCATACTTCAACCAATGTTATTTATAGTCTTTTAAATAACTACAATCCCTAAGTATCCAATACTGAGGAGCAGAAAAGATGAAACAATAAAAAGTCATTACCAGTGTTGTATATAAATATTATGGTATGTGAAAATGTTTTCTACAAATTACCATCAGCATTTTTGTTTTACATACACCTCAGAATACACTGTTAATAAACTTTAAAAAAAATTTCACGATTCTGCACTTAAATGTATATTTTTAGAGTTGAGACCAGATAAGTCTGAATTTCTGTAGATGTTAATGTATGTTGTTACTTGCTTTTTGAGATTAAAATTAAGTTTAGCAGGATGGGGAAATCTAAGTTGGGACTGTATATGCTGTTTAAATAGGTTAAAGTTTCACTGCGGAATTTTGTATATACAACTTAGGTTGGAAGCAATTAATAGATTCTTGACCTGATGTGGATATAAGGAGCAGTGCTTTCTGAATTTCTCTGCAGATGGTCTCATTTACCATTTACATCCTTACAAGAAACAGTGGAGAACATTTCTTGTGGAAGGGGAGGCGGCCTTCTCAAGTCTTTCCTGTTGGATGGGAATTACATAGGATCATTGGTTAGTAAACTCCTCTCTGAGGAGCTAGAGGGAGCCGCATGATTTTATTAGATATACTTAAGGTTAAAAAAAAATCACTCTGGCAATCAGAGTGTTGTAGAAAAAGAGTACATAAAGAATACTGGCTTAGTGTTTAGACTTGGAGGGGCTTGGAGGGGCTTTTGTAGGTTTGGTGGGGGGTTTTTCTGTTTTGTTTTTAAGCTGTGACAGAAGCAGAACTATCTATAAAAACAGTCAAGTAGTCAGCTAAGATTTCTAGGGTGCTACCTTTTAGATAATTTGAAGAGCAAGCAAAATGCAATGAAATACATTTTCCATCTGATTTGATTTGCTAAGGCCTGTTTGTAGCTTTTGTCAACTGAAGTTCTCTTGTTAGGAGGCCAGCCTTCTGAGTTCTGTTAAAAGTAACTTCTTACCAAGTCACTGAGGAGGGGGCTACCTGTTTCAGTTCACTAAAGACAGCCTCCTTTCTGTAAATAATGGTTTTGAAGGAGCTCTACATACAACTGCTGTACCCTGGTGAGAAAACTCTTTTAAAATAAATGCTTCATGTTATAAGCATAAATAGTAAACCATTTATAAAGCTGAAAAATTAGGAATCAATAAATATGTTAAATTTAAAGAAATAGAACTTAAGTGGTATTAAATTCAGTGTGTGTTGTGTAATTTCACATTTGTTTATCAGCCTTCCCACTAAAATGTGTGATATATTTACATGAAAGAGTCTTTGATCATAATTGTTCTTTAATATTTATATACTAGTTTTAGTAGCATTACTTTGGACAAACTTATTTGCCATTTAAGTAAATAATATAATCCAGTGAGATAAACTACCCAGATTCGTCTTTTTTTCATCTCTTGCACAGTGGCTCTCATTATATTGCTAGCCAATAAAAGTCTTTATTTGTTGCTTATTAGAACCCTCAGTACACTCAAGAGTTGTTCAGCTATAATTTAATTTGGCTGTTCAAAGAGGCTCCCTTGTTTTAAAACATGTTCTTAGTACACTTTTACCATTTATTGTGAACCTATATTCTAACTCATGCATATGCATAGGAATGATTTTACAGATACATCATTTTTTAAGATTTTTTTCCATAGCAAAGTCATAACTTTT